AAAACAAATCATCGCAATGCACAAAAATCATCCGAATGATTTAGAGAATTCCGCAAAATTGATTCATTTTCGCAATTTCTTAAATAGCTTCCCAAAAAATATACTAAAATGACGTTGTTCTCACGTTGAGCGGCTAAATCTCGAAACCCTTTTTCGATTTGTTTGTGTAAAATTTGCAATTTATTCTGTTCAAAATTTGTATGTGCAAAGAGAGGAGTTTTTTGTTCGTGAAAGAAGACACGAAATTGAAATGTGCAATCTCATGGAGATATTAACGCCATTAAGAATATAAAACTTACAATCAATAAGTGTTTTCGAAGAGCCGTTCAACCTTTTGTTGTTCAACAAATGTTTGGAGGGTGGCGGAGAGTGGTTGGAGACGTGTTGTTTGTGCCAGTATGTGTGGATGGGATAGAACATTTGGATGTGCGTTCGTACGTACGCTCGCGTGCGCTTACTCTTTAATGTAACACAATACACGTCGTGCATTGAATTTTTGACGTGACATTAAAATATTGGCTGAATCATAATCATCATCATCATCATCGAGCACACCAAGAGCTAATTCGAATATGAAAACATAAGACGAATTTTGAGTAATATAATTTTTCAGCATGTGACAGAAAATCCATCTCATCCATCCAGACTGTATGAATATCATGATGATGAACGGGAACAACAACAATAACAACCAGCACCGGCGATAACAACGCCAGAATAGCAAAGGCAGAATAGAGGAAAAAAAAGGAGCATCAACGCTCCAATGCATCATTTAAGAGGGTTTATTCGGCGCTTGGATAACAAAAGAAAACCGCTTGTCTACATCATTCAGAGCGACGTTTCTTTTTTCTTTCTCTCTCTATCTCTCTCATACACACACACACACACACCCTCTGTCTCTTCTATCGCTCTGTTGTTATTCCCCGCACGGATGAAAATCTCACAAATTATGATGCAGAAAAAAAGACGCGCACACAAACACAGCGGGAGCGCACAAAGTTGTGTAACACAATCGATTTTGTGTAACAAATCCCTTCCTCTATTTGGCAGGTAACTCCATTATGGTAGAATCAAGTGGTTGTCAAAAATAGCATTCTCAATATAAACGACGAATGCTGATGCTATTTCGATTTAAATCGATATCTTCTTCTTTGTTTTGTTCTCTTTTTCCATTTTTTTTTCTTGGTTGTTGTTGCATTTTGCATGCAACTTGCAAATGAAAATCGTTTTACTATAAATGATTTCTTGTGATAAACTTTCTGATGCTTTCCGACATTTTATTTTTTCTGTGCGCAATTCAACATGCTAATAATGGTTGTCGTTTTGGGTATGAGTGCAAGAAATGAAGAGGCGAAGATCAGAAACTTTATCATTAAAATGGGATTTCGAATAGTTGCTCAACAATAAAAGCCGCACAAAACAATTTCCAATGGAATTTTGTTTCACTTCTATAATTTTGGATTTCATGCTTCGTGTCGTACGCATATTCCGTAATTTTGTTTAGGACAATGGGGTGAACCGATTTTCGTCGTATGTGTCGAAATGTGCTAGCATGCATTCAAACGAAAACGAGCCAAATTATTCATTTCTCTTAATGGAAATGAACTGGAGCTTGTAATCCCATAAGATATGTTCTATTCGAATGAAGTTTGTACACGTTATTTCTTTTTCTGTTTCAGTTGTCTTCCACCGAAAATTGGTCGAATTATTTGATTTTAGTTTAGCGTGCATATTTTACTCGCGAAATATACACACAATTTTAGAGGTTATACGGAGGAATGTGCTAATAGTGATAGTATGACTTGCGTTTTCTTCTTTCCTTTAGTCGATTTTCATAAGATAGAGAGCGCGCACGCGAGAGAAAGAGAGAGAGAGAGAGAGAGAGAGAGAGAGAGAGAGAGAACAATAGACAACAAAAACCAAGTGGAAAAGAATAGCATGCGTCCGTTCGTTCGACAAATGGATCAGTTGCAAGGCAAACAATGTGCATGGCACATAACGCATAAGTCACCAAATTCAGTTTATTATAGTTTTCTTGTGCCATGAATAAGTTCCAAGTTACATTTTAAATTATATTAGAGTTGCAAGTTTCGTTCGCCGCCTGTCATAGGACGTTAAGCAAATAATAAAGACGATGATCGTATGATTTGAACTTTAGAATGAGGGCCCAATGCATTCCAATATCTTGGAAAGTTTTGATCAAAACTTAATGCATACTGTGTGCGTTTGTGTGTGTGTGTGTGTGTGTGTGTGAGTGTGTGTGAGTGTGGATTAAGAAAAGTCAGCAGGTAACGAATGAGAGACGAAACGCGGGCTTTATCACAATTTCAACCAAATTTTCTAATCGTCTAATCATTGCAAATCTGTTTTGCTTTAGCACCATCCAAAAGTGAAACAAAACTAAAACACAAAAACACACACACGTTGGGGCTAGTAACGAGAACAACTTTGCATATCAAGTCGAATACTTCAAAATTGATTTAAATCACGGAATGAGAGTTTGGTGCAATGAAACTGTTTGCAAAGTTCCAATGCATGTGCATGTGCATTTGTGTTCATTGTATGCAATGCGCAACAAATGGTAAACCGAAAACAGATGCTTTTGCTTGGTTTACTGTGTAGTTTCCATATGAGCTCGTGTTTGAAGTGTCGACATCCATAAAGTAGCCATAGCATTATCAGGCCAAAGCACATAACACACCACAAACATTTTGCATTCTTGCGTTCAAATTTCTTTCCACAATTGGCACGTATTCGAAAGAAGAGCGAGTGAGGGAGCGAGACGATAGGACGATAGGACGAGAGCATCGTTTGATTTGCACATCGAGCATCTACTCTGTGTGCATTTTCTTGTTGCAGCGCCTAAAATTGGCCAAACCATTGCTTACGATTATTATCAGGCAGCATCGTGTATGGCCTACATACGTCCACACATATGCACGATATGAATGAAAATGAAATGCTATTTGCTGCATTGTTTCGCTTAAGCACGAGCATTTATCTTAAAATTATTTGTATTGATACACAACGATTCAGCATAAATTTGTGCTGCAAAATAGGCTGGAATGGCCCATGGCTTTGGATTCGAGTCAAATTCGCATCAGCTGTGTGTGTGTGTGTGTGTGTGTGTGTGTGTGTGTGTGTGTGTGTGTACCGATGGAAAGTTATTTCCGAAACTATTATGATTCTGCAATTAGATTAGTAGGTGTTGACTTCTAATATATATGTTATGCATATGATTGTTGGCATTTGTGTGCATTTAATATTTACGTGATGAATTGACCACTACTAGAAAATCTGACCCAATTGGATTGAAAGAAAAAAAATTGAATCATTTGAAAGTTCTAAAAATGTTCGCTACTTTATTTTTCTTTTCATTCGTTTCAAAACCATTGGCAATAGAGCTGTTACCGTCGTTCCAAATCAAATAGAATGTCATTTTAATTTGGGCCCTGTTAGTGAGCATCATCACAAAGAGAGCAAAAATGACGATGGTGACGATGACGCTGTAATTGAATTTTCCTTATGCGACACAATGGGCGTATTGAGTTGTTTGAACTACTTCAATCGCCATATGAATAATTATTTCATCATTAGATCAGTTTTTGGGGGTGCTCTCTGCATTGTTGTGACTGAACATGAATATTACAACATCAGAACTGTGTCGACTGTGATTCGTCCGTCTTTAAAACCAAGAATTGAACATTCAAGTAGCACAGACAATGAAGTCATAACTAATTAAATCGGAAAGTTTGTACGCTTTGCTGATTTTCTCGGTCAATGGCTCTCGTTCTTGTTTTTGTCCTCACACTTTCTTTGCCTGTATCTCTATTTGTCTTCGTTTCGCCGTGTCTGTGCCTGTGTTTGAGTCAGGGTGTTATGTTTTCATATTGCACAGTTTGTAAGTTGAATCGGTTGGTGCAGTTGTCGTTCATCCGCTGTCAGCCTATTGTGTGCAAACCATCAACTTACTTTTCTGTTCATCTTTCGTAGAACTTTGCGTTCAGTAACCACATTACAATGGTTTAGTTCCCGGTGACCTGGGCTCTGTTATACGTTATTGAAAACAAAATAGTCTTACATGTTTCGCTTCAACTTATGATCGTTTCATATCAATTTGTGTCAAAGAAATTAGTTCAACATGTTTTTTGCTCAGAATGTTTTTTTTTGTTCCTTTTCCCAAAGCTTTTAACGAAAAGAAGAAGCGAGAAAAAAATACAACCCAAACCCAATTATCCATGATACAAGGTTCTTTCATGAATTTTTTATAGATTTGTTCAGATTTTTTCTTCTCTCTTTTCTTTTTTTTTCTTCTCAATTTGTTGATTCGATTTTGATATGAGAGTAACTTTTATGTTTGTTGTAGGTGGAATCTGTCCCTGAACTCTGACGTGAGCTTGATGAGCTACCGACGCTTTTTTTTCAGTATACATCGTATTAAAATGGTACGAATAGGCCATTAAATGGCCTTCATCCGCTAAAACGTCTATTAGAATATTGTATTCGATGCTCACACAAACTGAATGTTGATGTTGATATTCTTTTTGCCGTTTCACAATTAAAATAAAAGCACAAATTTTCTTTATGTCATTTAATCGAGAGGCTTTTGTATACAGCTGACTCGAATTGAACGGAAAGATACATAGCACACACTTACATTCTATTTGCGTTGATTCAATGTGGCAACGAATTGAAGTTTTCCACGAGGGAGTAAGTGAAACAGAACATGCGGAAACATATTCAATTCACCGAAACAGACCAAACGACAAAATTGAACAAAACTCTGTGTGTATGTGTGTGACGCACACACTTTGCAAAAGGTCTTTCCAATCATACACAAATACCGTGCACGATACAGGAAAAAGAACAGAGCAAGTGAACAAAAATAGAGAGATGAAATCAAAAGAAGGAATCTTTTCATTTCCAGGTTAATGTTATATGGTTTTTTTTTTATGTGTGTTCAGAATATATGTAATATTACGTATATCTATAGTAGTTACCTCGAAGGTTGTGAATACAATTTTTTCGATGGATCCAAAGTAACGTTCCCACAACATTTGCGTTTGTTGTCGTAGCGCCAAGATTTTCGTCGCTGATATCGATCTTACTATTTCTGGAACCTTTTTGATAACATAAACAAAACGCTCATTATTTTTAATTGAAATTCAACGAGAGAAAATGAGATATGAGAGAGTGGGTGAGTGGTAAAAATGAGAATGTTCTGAAACTCCTTCGTTCCGATGTTGCAGAACGAGAGCGAGCAAGAGAAGAAAAAAAAAACTCTCTCACACACCGAACGAAAAATTGAAATGAGAATGTGGCTTACTTGTAACAAAAGTCGTTCATCAGCCCAAATGGCAGCCATTTTCCAATCGATTTTTGATTCAAATGGAAGTGCCCACGAATTTGATAGCAATATGGGTATACAGCCGGCTTGAAGCGCCTCAAGGAACCTATAAATTAAAACAAAAAGTTTAAACTCCATAATTAAAATATGATTATATCTTTCATTGAACCATGAACAGTTTTACAGTTCGTTCCATCTTCATTTTCATATCGGGCAAAACTAAGTAAGTATGCGCCTTATTTTCATATTTTTTTTCTCTTTATTTCTTCTTTTTCGGCTTCTGCTCTTCCCATCGTCGTCGTCGTTGTAAATTTCAATTCCGAGGGTGAAATGAATACCGAATTTGTCACAGAAGTTCTTAGTTGCCAAGCGATATGTTTTTATAAGTCAGTGGCAAAACTGTTAAGAAGCTTTATTTGTCGAATGAGCAGCAATTGTGCACAAATTACACCGTTGGTGTGGCAGCATGTGGACGATCGAACGGGCAAACGAATGAACGAGCGTTCACGCGCGATAAATGAAATCTCAATGTGGTATCAATATTGTTTTTTCTCTCGCTTCGTTCCTTTTTTTAATTGAGAGTCTGGTTATGAAATCCGATGTATTGTGTTTACTTATGCATATCACATTGAACAAGGGAATAATTGCAAGCGATGCAAAAAAAAACATACACATACAGAAGTTATGAATCAAATGTGTTAGCAACAACAACAAGAATAGTAGTGACAACGAAGAAGCGACAAGAGACTAAGAACGATGGCCAGCATTCAGTAGAATTGCAGTGACATCAATTTGATAAAATGACAATGACACTGTCAAAGCGATGACATAATCATAATTACACGAGGGAAAAATACTACTGAACACAGGGAGCGAACAAGCAAGGAAAAAAAAAATCCCGGCAAGCTAGATAAACCAACAGCGATAAAACAGCACTCTCCTTCTCTTTCCATCGCTGCCTCATTGTGCAAAAATGTCAAGAGAGAAAAATAGAAAAAAAGTAGCAGCACACGGCTCACACACACAGTCACGCAGTGACAGATAAGAACTGATGTTGCAAATGCTGTTTGGGGAAAGCTTAGCATTTTCTTGCCTTAAATGTGTGGAGCTGTTCTTTGCTTCGTCTCGTCTACAAATATTTCCCTTGTGTCATTTTTGCTCAATTTTCGCTCACCCGTCCGCTGTTTGTGCCAGTGAGAGCGTGTGTGTGTGTGTGTGTGTTAGAAAGTCTTTTTTCGATGCATTTCCAGACCACTCTCCAGCAATGTCATTCAAACGGCAGACGTTATCAGCACCAAGTATTTGGTTCCTGTTTGAATTTGCTTTAATTAAATTCCATGTTCCGAAGTACGACAGAGAGAGAGAGAGAGAATGAAGGCAATAGAATGCATTTTGTTTATCGCAACTGTTGAAAATCGGTGTGTATACATATATAAACTTGGTGTCCGAAAATATTAGTTTCACTTGCATATTCCAATGTCGCTTTTTCTTCTATTGTCCGTATTCTTGATTTTCTTTCTACTGTGCTGTGGAAGGTTGTATTCGGTTGCGAACACACACAAATATGTACTTTTTACTGGCAACAACAAAGAATATATCACATAAATACGACAATGTAAATACTTTGTTTTGAATTGCCCCGGAAAAAAAATGTACCGTTGTTAGGCGTCACTATTCACCGAAATCTCATTTCATTAAGAATGTTTTCTCGTAGGCAATGAAAGATGTTGAGTAGGAGAGAGAAAGAAAGAAAGAAAATAACTTTGACGAAGACCGATTCTACGTTCATGCTCAACAAGAAAAGAAAATGGAAGAATAGGAAATTGGGAGAGAGACATAGCGAGCCAACCAACCAACGAATGAACAATCGAGCGAAAAACCAAATTGAGTCGCTTTGCTGAAGTTTCATTTTGTCAATTGATATTAATAAGTCTATATTAAATATTCTTCGACATATTATCCTCGGCTTAATTTAATCTATTATATATAATTTAATGCATTATTAAATGTTTTTCGAGTACTTTGTTTGCCAAAAATAAAGAAACCATTCAATGGCTTCGTATTGCTACTGCTGCTACTGCTGTCAAGGCTCCACACCACAATCCCGCTCGTTTATTTGCTCGTTCCGGCGTCCATAAATAGCCCGAGTGCGGCTGCTTTTAATGGACGATTGAGCGAAACTGAATTGACCGATAATAACGTAAATTGACTCGGCAAAATATTGAATACAATATTTTCAATGCGAAAGAAGGCAGAAACGAAAGAAGGGAAAATATTTACCTGAATGAACCTAAGCGTCGTCCTCGGGGCACCAAACAAAATGTCGAATTCAATAGCAAGGTTTCATAGTCATATCTGTGGAAGAGAAAAAAAAATGAGTATTTTTTTTAGAAAAATGGTGAAGCTGAATATTTTCTTCATTTCAATAATTCATTTTGAGGCTTTTATTTTGTTTCGCTGTCTGTTCGTGGTAGTGGTCGTTTCAATTATTCCATCAATTTTAACATTTTCTGTATTAATTTCAACAAAGCATTGAAGCGGCTGGCTAAGTACCGGTGCTGGTGAACAGAAAGAGAAGCATATAAAACACACGAGGCACGAACGGCAGCTATTTGTGTGCACGCGTGCGTTGCTTATGATCTGTCTCGTGTGTTGTATATGCTTCTCTTTTTGTTTCTGTGTGAATGCAAGAAACAAACACTGTGTGTCAGTATCGTTAAATGAACGACCGCGCGTCACAGCGAATATGCACGCAACCAACAGCAGATCTGTTCACCAGCAGCGCTACATAGCCAGCCTCTTCAATGCTCTGAATTTTAATAACTAATAAAGAAATTCACAATGTTTTCCTTCTCTTCTTCTTCTTCTTCTTCTTCTTCTTCGAACAACTCACAAGCGGGTCGTCGCAAGTAAATTGTCGATATCATCGTTGAAAGAGCGAGCAATGTTTATACTAGCCTGCAATCGAAACCGATTTGTTTGGTTACGGAAATAAAACGCACTTCTTTTTTTGTCATATTCTACCTTCGTATGGTTTTTCGTATGATGAAACCAAAATCGAGGCTAATTTTTCTGTTGTTAACTAGTAGCTGAAATTATGCTGCGGTAATTTGGTTCAGTAACAATGCAATAAGTTAACTCGCTGATTCTCATCGTCTGCATATTATGGCCCAGAGACCGTTGGGGTTTCGTCGAATGGCTTTAAACGTTGCAATGGCACTTTTAATATTGTTACATCCGTAGCACATACACACACACACTCACGCTCACTAATAGGAAAATTACATCGTGTATTCATCTTGCTCTCGATGTCATTGATATGAAATAACAGCGAAACGACGACGTAGCGGTAGCGACGATGAGAAAAAACGGGTAGCACCGAGTAGTGTGCAAAAAATTGTCCAAAGTTGAGAGAGCGTTCAGTTCGTTTGGATGGTCGATCGGTTGGTCGGTCGGTGTGCAAAATGTGTAGAGCAAGAAAGAGAGAAAAATTAAAGCACCGGCGATTACGTTGTAAGTGTGTCGAGTGTGAATCGACGAAAATACAAGCATTCCGTGAAAATCGTCGTGCTGTTGTCGTTCGTTTTTCTCGTTGGTTGCCGCCATCACCGCCACTGCTGCTGCTATGTGCAAGTGCCTCTTTTTTCTGTTTGTGGTCGTCGTCGTCGTCGTCTCAATTTTATTCCATTGTTGCTACTCATTTTGGTGCATCTGCTTTCATTCGATCCGTTTAATTCTCGCTTATTTTGCATTTCATTTGCATTTTTGACCCTTGAAATCCTCGTTTGTTATGTGTGATATCTCTCTGTGTATACCGGGCTTTTTGCCACGATCATTGTACTATCCCGTGTCATGTGTATGCGTTTTTTGTTCGGTCGTGTACGTTTTTTTTTTTTTAATTTATTGTATTCATCTTCGCTTGTGTGTCGTTTGTCTCTCTGGCCAATGTGGAAAAATGGGGATGCAAAAGTGTGTGCAACGAACGAGGTGGAACCGAACAATTCGATCCTCGCTCACAACACACATAGACGAAGAGCGAGAGAGAGACTGTATGGCCGATGGACACATGAATGTGCAACCGGATACCCCAGAACATCTCGAATGGATGAAAGCTGCTTTTTCAGCAGATATGTAAATTATGCCACCAATTTTCACGTAAACGATGCAAGTGTGTGACAACCACAGCACCGAATTGCTTAATACTCTCCCGCTTTCTATTTCTCTTGGTCTCCTTTCGTATGTGTGTATGTTTGTATTTGTGAGAGCACAGTGCATACTGCACATTCGTCGTGAGTGCCCTTTTCTCACTTTATTCCGTTTGCCTCGCAAAAACGATGGCTGTTTACTACTCGACATAACAGTTTAATTACCGATCTACTAGCAAAATTCATGCAAATACCATCTTTATACGCATAAATATATTGCCTGCGCTTGCTTGCTGTTGTTGTTGTTGTTGTTGTTCCTACTGCTGCTACTGCTATGTGTTTAGTTTATTTGCCAATGTTTGAGACTTGCTATGTGTTTATTTTAAACTTTTTATGTGACTGTTGATGTTGGCGTTTCGCTGGCTCGAGTTTGCCTCATCATGTTCGCCTTTTCCCTACATTATCCTTCTCTTTCTTTCTCTCACCCTCTGTCTGTCTGTTCACTTTTTTTTCCTTTCTGTTCTGCTCCCCACATTCTCATTTTACTGTCCGGAAAATTTATAAATCATAAATCTTCGGTCTCGCTTCTGTAAAAAGCGGTTGCGAGCAACAACGCGCGCAAAAACAGAAAGAAATACTAGATAGAATACGGTGAGTAGAAGCCGATTTTCCATGAAGCCGGAAATGGAAAGAATAAAACGACAACAGCGAAAAAGCCACAGCGATCCCGTTGAAGGCGGGCATACAAAATAAAGTGTGTGTGTGTGTATGTGGGAAAAGAGCAACTAAATATTGCGGCAAATGAGCAACGAAAATGAGAATAAACGCCTTAAAATTCCAATTTAATGAATGCACCGCGCTCATTCTACACACATTAGTTACGGCCACTAATTGTTGTTATCGAAATCGCCCAACCACGCTTTCAACACACACACACACTTTTTGCAAACATATAAATTTCCATGGCAAAACAATCATCGACAACACAATTTACCGGTGGTTGAACGAGAGATTAAAAAAAACGAGAACGCATTAAATCGATCAAACGTTAATCTTTTTTTTTATTCCAAAAAATGTGCCATAATTGATGCCATCTGAAGTCTCAATGGCAACATCATTTTCACGATTTTAACTGTATTTATTATGAAATGTTGACAATTAAATCTTTCTTCATGTATTTATAAATTGTATCAATTGGACCGGGCGAACAGACGAAACGAGCACATAAGCAAATACACACACATATAACGTATGCATTTAATACATTTAACCAATCAAAAATAAATAAACGATACAAATGCTGTTTCTCCGGCGTTGCACTCCGAAATGAAGCAAAAACACTGAACACAGCAAAGGAAAGCGAATTGGAGGAGAGAGAGAGAGAGAGAGAAAGCGCGGAAACAGCAGAAAAAGTGGCAGAAGAGTGGAGAGGTAAAGAGAGCAAAAAAAGCTGTTCAGCAGTTTACATGACTTTTTTCCGCATGCAGAAGCAGATTCAGTACTCGCTCAATTGGGTGATGTAATCCAAAGAGTTTTTTTTGTCCGGATTTTATCCGCTTTTCAATTTACACCAGAGGTAAACAAGACTGGCATTATTGGTTTCTGGTTACGGCCCGGATATGCATGTATGACCAAGGGATAGAGAGAGAAAGATAGAGTGTGAGAGAGGGAGAAAGAAATGACCGTATCATGTGTGCTCAACATCAACCTATGCCCTGCAACGGTGTTTGATCACTCCGGCCCTTTGCCTGCCGGTGATCCCTCACGGATCTCATCCTCCAATCTCTAATTAAAAAATCGGATTACAAAAATTATAACAGGCAAATGCACTTGCGAACCGAAAATCAGTTAACATGCAGATCATGTGTTAATTCAACAGACAAATATATTGCACAAGCTCATTAACAAATTGCATAAAGCGGACAGCAGCCGAATGGGTGACACATCAAAGCTGCCCCATATTGTTTGCACAATGCAATGCAAAGAAATACCTTGATTGTTGTGTCAAGCGTAGAGCGCGTAAATGTTGAGAATCATTTTCGATAATTGAAGTGATAATTAAAATGTTTCGTTTTAATTTGCCGGCGATCTTGATTGAAAGAGCGAGCGAGAGATGTGGAGCGAAACGAAAATACCAAATGATAAAGACGCCGAATGTAGCCGTTTTTCTTCATTAGAATGTATTACATAACACGGGCAGCAACCAAAATATTTACTGTGTGCCGTTCTTCTTTTTTTTCTTGTCTCGGTGCAGCAGTTTCATCGTTTGCACCATCCATATGCCACAATAATTTTCATTAATCCAGTACAGGAATTATATTGCACTCTTAATCCTCTAATAATTATAAAGTCACTCGCAGGAAATGAGTGGAATAAACCAACGCCAAAGAATTGTTGTTTTGCAGCGGCATATTTCTCTTCATCGTCGAAATCGCATTTTTGTGCCCTCTTAGTTCATGAAAATGAAGAAATAAAAAAAGCATTAATGCTAATGAAGAGCAGACACGAATTTCTTATGGTGCGAACTGGGGCTGCCAGCGATAGGAACAGAGACTGAGGCAGAACGAAAAAGAGTGAATGAGTGGTGAAAAAAAATAGAATTAAGAGACTGTTTGCTTTTCCGATGTTTATGTTGATTTTCACTATTATTTCATTTGAAGATGCAGTTACCACTCTACTTTTTATTCAGCTGCTCAAGCCATTCTTCTTTTTGTATCTTCTGGAGATACTTAAGCTTTGAATAGCGCGCATACTTTTCGTTCTTTGTTTTTATGTTTTATTTTTCTTCTTATCTTATGTTGCTCCTGCTTTTGCTGCTACTGCTACTGTTTTGTGTATTGGTCAAAATGAAGTGCTCATATGTTTGAAGCAAAAGTTGCTGTACTTCTCGAAGAAAATGACTACCATACTTTGAATTGTTTTATCAAAATGCATAAAAATAAGCAAACATACACAAAAAAATTGAAAAAAAAACACGAATGAAGGAAAAAACACATACACACAAAATGTGAAACTAGTGTGCCTGAGAGGCATCAAGATGTTTCATAGCAAAAGCATAATGAGGGAAAAAAGGGCGTTTTGAATGTCTGCATACTGAGTACTTAAAACTTATTAACTTAAATTAACAAGGGATTAGCCGTATCGCGTGCGCGTTGCTCAACATGTTTTTTTTTAAGCGGCGAAGCCGAACGAGATAGAAACGACGACGAC